GAGTGTCAAAGAAAATAGGAAAAGTTAGAATCATCTCCTAAGAGCATTGATGAGAAATAAATTCAACATAATCAACTATATTAATGAATTTTAATTAGATTAACCTAAACAAATCTCAAAAAAAAAAAAAAAAAGAAAAAAAAATATTAATGAATTTTTAATTATTCAAAGGAGAAGTCAAGGTTATAAGATGGAAAACAGGAAAAAATTACTCTAAAGGATTCTTTGTGAATAAGAAAGGTATAACATCAGTAGAATACATATTGTAATAGTATAAGTTTGGTTGTATGAATTGATAGTGATCATCATATTCAATTCTCTCTCTTATCTAAACCAAATTCTCCTACAAATCTCCATCAATGATGACCAAATTTCCTTACCAAGCCAAAATTTGAACAAGTGGACATCAAATTAGATTATACGGAAGGGAAGTTTCCTGCCAAATTACTAATCATAGAATAACAGCAACATCAAGTCTTTATCCTACTATGGGGTCGGCTAAATGAATCATTTTTCTTCATTATGTCTTGTTTAGGGTCAAATTCTCATTTAAATCTAATAAAAAAAAATGTTATTTCTAATATTTTCTAACCAAGTCATTTTAGGTCTATATCTACCGTTAATATTATAGAGATAGATATTAAAACCTTTTTTCTGATACTTTATATGAAATTGCTGAAGTTATTGGATTTATATTGAGATAAGTACTACAACAGCAATAAGAACATGCACTTATCCCACTACGTGTTATCAACTGCATAAATTATTTTTCTTCATCGTGTCTTATTAAGAGAAAACTGTAATGGCTCAAACTGGTGCTTTGGACTAATGGTCTCATAATTTTATCATGTTAGTATAATTTCTTAGAAAGTCGCCCATCTTATGATTGCTTTTGTAGAATTACACTTAATTTTAAAATTTTTAATAAAATTATGATCATTACATCACAAGATGTCTCATTATTTAAGAATTTAGATTTTTTTTTTTTACTTCAGGAGTTTCACAATAAGTGCAATTAAAAATAATTATTTATAGTATAGAAGTTTAAAGTAATAATTTTTTAAAATTGTATCTTTGCTAAAAATAAATATTAAAGAAAATTAAAAAAAAAAGTTTCATTTTGAAATGTTTAGGCTATGCCGCTATGGCATCGTGAGTCCACGTTCTTGAAAGGTACGAAAATGAACCATTTGGTAGGACCCAAATTGGGACCCAAAACGAAGAGACCAGGTCGCCACACGCGTCCCTCTCGCTACCATTTGTGGGCCCATTTTTCGACCCTTCTTGTCTTGGGGGGGGGTGGTGTTGCAAATTTATAAGTAACTAACAGAAGTCCAAAGGGGAAGCACCCTCTGATGGGGTTCGATTATAAAGATATTTTTGGAATTCAAATTAATAAAAGAATGATGAATTCTCTTTACTATTTGTTATAGTCAATTGCCTAAAGACCGTAATATTTTAAACCTTTTAGGGGGGAGGGGGGCAATTACTTAAAAATCTTTGTAATAAAGACTAAAAAATAAATCGATGAGGGTTATTAAAGTAACGATATAAGGATATTTTAAACCTTTTAGGGGGTCGGAGGGGATTAAAGTAGTTTTTACGGTAAAATAGGTATGGTGGTGGTTTAAAGTAACGATAAAATAGCCAAATGAAATTATAGTTGCAGTGTAAAAAACAAAAGAGTGAAAAAATGCCCTAAACAAACCTAAATTATGAAGGTGATATAAATGACAATTGTTGATATAAATTACATTATACACAAACTTTCTTCATTCATATAATTTATAACTTAAAAAAACTTGTAATAAAGACTAAAAAATAGATTAAGGGGGACAAATAACCTAAAGATTAATATAATAAATTTATTTATTATTTTTTTTAGGGAACCGGGGGGTTGTCGGAGGGGATTACAGTAGTTTTTTACGGTAAAATAGGTCTGGTGGGGTTTAAAGTAACGATAAAATAGCCAAATGAAATTATAGTTGCAGTATAAAAAACAAAAGAGTGAAAAAAAAATGCCCTAAACAAACCCTAAGTTATGAAGGTGATATAAATTACAGTATACACAAACTTTCTTCATTCATATAATTTATAACTTAAAGCTGCATCACGACACCGACCAATCTTTGATGATTCATAAAGTACACCTAATTAAGCACTAATCTACCTTAAAAATCAAGATATTATAACATTCAATAAAATTCTAAATTACAAAACCCTAAACTATACAATTGAAATTTCATCATCAAATAATCCACCCATTCATCCCAAAAAGAAGCTCCAAATCCATTTCAAATTATTATTTGAACTAGCAATCTCAAGACTAAGTCATCATGAATATATTATTCATCAATGGCATCATTTATTCACATTAAATATTAAAAAAGAAGAAGAATAAACTAAGGTCAAACAGGTCAACATGACCAGTTCAATTCTTTTGAAGTTGGACGACTGAATCTTCATTGTAAGTCAAAGTTATGGCATATCTATTTTGAATTACAAAGTTTGCATGGACCATTTCAATGCTTCTATAGCATATAATTTTTACTAAAATTTGAAGCATTTAAAAAAGAGACATTTTAATTTGAAAATTTGGTCTTAACCGATGTTTCGTTTGGGACGTCTTTCTTATTGCTTCTTAAAGCAGTTAATTTTTGTACTAAAAAGCTGCTTTAAGAAGTAGTTTCAACTTTCTTACTGCTCTACTTGTAAGACCGTAATCATAATTTTTGTTTGGTCATTACTTTTTCTCAACTTGAAAAAAAATTATACTAAAAAACTATTTTCTAAAGCAGCTTTAAGAAGTGATTTTATCGACAACAACTTTATAAAACAATTAAAAATGAGCTTAAATTCATTTTATCTACTCCCATTTAAAGAATAAAGTAAAGACTTTACGTTGATGCAGAGTTTATGAGGATTTGATTGTGACAAAATAGAGCAATAATTTATATTATGTAATAAAAGATGACGCTCTATCTTTTTATTAAAAAAAATGGTATGACAAAAATGAGATGCTAAATATTGAATATTTTTTTGTAAGCTTCAAGGTCGAACTTCGAGAAGAGGGACTATGCAACCTCCTTCAAACTCCATTGGCGAGTTGATCGTGAACTCAGCTCATTCTAGTCTGTTGGTCGGGAGTTTTGGCTACCAACCAAAAGATCTTGGATTCGAGTTTTACGTATGTGATGTGTGTGCGAATTTGTCTTAGGTCTCATTTGAGACGACTTTCTTTCTACTTCTTAAAGCATGCATTTTCCTAGAATTTTTGCACTCGAAAGCAACTTTAAGAAGCAGAGAGAAAGCCGTCCTAAACGAAGCCTTAATTGACCCGAATATCCTCTAGAAAAAGCTGATCATGTTGTTTTTCCTAGAAGTTTCTCTCTCTCAACTGTGTAGTTTTTTTTTTCCAAAATTTGAAATAATGGACTCAACTCTTAGCAGAAGAGGAGACTCAGCGGAATTGACAGCTTGAATTTTCAGTGTATTACCTTCACATTTATTCAGAGCAATTCCATTGACTGCGCACCAAAATCCAACATGGCGCCTCAACGCTGCTTCCAAGTAAGTTCCCATGGAGCTGCTCACCTCACCATATTGATTCATATGTAATACACAAACAAAAAATATTTTCTACGAGTGTATTAAAGATTTTTGCTTGAGTACATCTAAAACGGAATATATTGAGTGTAATTTTAGTAGTAATAAATCTAGTTAGGGGATTGTGACTTTGGGCGATCAAGTCATTAATAAGAGTACATGTTTTAGATATCTTGGATCTATTGCTCAGAGTGATGGTGAAATAGATGAGGATATTATCATCAGAATTCAAGTTGGATGGTTGAAGTGGAGGAATGTATCGGGTTTGTTGTGTGATAGAAAAGTACCCCTCAAACTTAAGGGAAAATTCTATAAGATGGTGGTGAGGCATGCAATGCTTTTATGGTGCTGAATGTTAATCATTAAAAGAGAAGTATAATACTACGTTAAGTGTGGTAGAAATGAGGATGATCATGTGGATGAGTGGCTTCACCCTTAGAGATAGGATATGAAATGAACATATACGTGAAAATGTTGGAGTAGCTTCAGTAGAAGATAAGATTAGAGAAAGTCGTCGTAGATGGTTTGGTCATATAAACGGCGGCCTTCCGATGACACGGTTAGGAAAGTAGAGGTATTAGATTTGACTTATGTTAAGAAAGGTAGAGACTGACCTAAAAAGATTTGATTAGAAAATATTAGAAATGATCTATCTTTATTACATTTAAACGAGAATTTGACTTTTAATAGGACAAAATGAAGAAAAAGGAATCATGTAGGCGACCCCACGTAGTGGGGCGCTGCTCCCTTGGACCCTCGACATATATGCCTTATAAGTTAAACCAACACCCCCCTCTAAAAATTAGGGCTGGTTCCGCCCCTGGTCAGGGGTCCCAGGGAGTAGCGCCCCTTGACGGGGTTCGACCGCTTTCTATTTTTCTTTGTATTTTGTTCATCATTTCCTAATAATAACAAAACCTCTAAATAATGTAATCAATTATGTTATGGGGCAATTGCCTAAAGATCATAATATTTTAAAACTTTTAGGGGGGTGGTCAATTTGCTTAAAACCCTTGTTATAAAGAATAAAAATTAGATTAAGAGGGAAAAATTATTTAAAAAATTTAGTAAGTCCTACTTAAAATTGCCAATCAACCCTTTAATTTGACTCATTATTCCATGTGAATACCATATGAAGAGAATCATTCGAATTTGCTGCGTTTTTGTAAAAGCTCAGTAAAAAATAACAAATATTTAATATTTATTAAATAATTAAGTATTTGTTATGCTTTTATTTAATATTTACAAAAATACAGCAAAAAAAGAGTAAAAATTAGTTCATATTTGCTGACTTTATACTGTCTTTTTTTCAAAAGCACAACAAAAAATAGTAAAAATAATTTCTCCTTAATTTTTTTTTTTCCTTCTTGCTCTCCATTTCCTCTATAAATTTCGCATGATCTCCCCTGCTCCATTTCATTAAACCCTAACTCCCAAAGTCCCTCCTTTGGCTCCCCTGCAACTCGGTGGAATCATCAATCAAGCTCAAAGAAACCTTCTTTCTGCTCCTTCTCCTTGAAATCCTTTTGACGCATCGTCATATGGTCCCATCTTCGTTATGAGGCCGGCGGGATCTCCGGGGCCAACCACTGCAGGCCGGCCACGGCGGCGGCCGGACCTTACCCTCCCCCTACCCAAACGGGACCCGACCCTCGCCGTTCCCCTCCCTCTCCCCCCTCCCTCGAACACCTCGACGGCGACCCCCCCAACCACCGCCGGTCAACTCCTAACCCCAAACCTCTCTGACCTCGAACGCGTCCGCCGCGTCGGCATCGGCAGCGGCGGCACGGTATACATGGTCCGGCACCGTCCCACCGGCAGGATCTATGCCATGAAAGTCATTTATGGCAACCACGAGGACGCCGTCCGCCGCCAGATCTACCGCGAAATCGAGATCCTTCGAACCGCTGATAACCCCTTTGTCGTTCGATGCCACGGCATGTACGACCACGCCGGCGAGATCCAGATTCTCCTCGAATACATGGACGGAGGGTCCCTAGAAGGCCATCGGATCTCATCGGAGCGATCTCTCGCTGATGTCGCCCGTCAGATTCTCTTAGGCCTCGCCTATCTCCACAGCCGAAAAATCGTTCATCGCGACATCAAACCATCAAATCTTCTGATAAACGCCGCGCATCAGGTTAAGATTGCCGATTTCGGGGTCGGAAGAATCCTCGCGCGGACAATGGATCCCTGTAACTCATCGGTGGGCACTATAGCTTATATGAGCCCGGAGAGGATCAATACCGATCTGAATCATGGAAACTACGACGGATACGCCGGCGATATCTGGAGTTTTGGGATCAGCATATTGGAATTCTATCTGGGAAAATTTCCATTTGGGGAGAATATCGGGAGACAGGGGGATTGGGCGAGCCTTATGTGCGCTATCTGCTACTCGAATCCGCCGGAGGCGCCGGCGACTGCGTCGAGCGATTTGAGGAATTTTATTGCTTGTTGTCTTCAAAAGGAACCGGCTCGCCGCCTCACAGCTGTTCAGCTCCTTCAACACCGTTTCATCACGCAGCAATCGCCATTGTCGTCTTCATCATCATCTTCTTCTTCCTCCTCTTCCATAACGAATCCCCGAGCTTAAGCTTTTGTATGAATTGAATTAGGTCCGAGATGGATGTTGGGGTGGCGATCGATAGATTTGTTGAACTCCTTTTTTGTGGATTTGATTTTAGCTCAGTGGCACTTTATTAATCAATAAAAATATGAGCTTTTTTATAGCTAGAGCTTATCAAAACAGGATTTTTTTTACTTCTGTAAAATGGAATTGATTGATTGAGGGCCTCGCTCTCTCTCCTGATAGGGCCTCTCTCTCTCTCTCCTCGATAATGACTTGACGTGATGTAGCTCAAGTTTCAAGTTCTGGGAGTCATCACCTTTCCTTCTGGGGCCGCGTGGCTGGTTTCTAGATTTAGTTAATCAGAGAGAAGCTGGATGAAGAGTTCAATCGAGTTTTGGCATCATGGAGCTGTGGAATTTTTTAAATATTTAAAATTTTATTAAATAGTTTAAATCTTAAATATTAATTTATTTTTATATTATTAATGTTTTAAATATTTTTTTACTATTTTAAATATTTAAATTTAATAAATAAAATAAAAGTGTTTTAAAAATATTAATAATTATTTGAGCCGGCTTCTTATATATATATATATATATATTATTTTAAGATGAATATGATAAATAAATAATCAATTAATTTTATATTCTTCATTTCAAAATAAATAAAAAATTTTAAAATTCAAACTTGATTATTAGATGCTTGATCATGAGAGAAAAAGAAATGTTATATTTTCAAAAGAAAACAATACCTATTTCAAGAATCAATAAAAATTCTAATCATACAAAAATTGCATGATGCTCCACTACTTTTATTATTTTACATATCAAAATGAAGTTTAAATGCTTGTTTTATTATTTTTTTCAGGTGTAACTATACTTTTAGAGAAATGATTTAGATTTTGAAACTAAATTGATTTTATACTCATAAAATATGGCCCCACTACATCATGGGAGCAATTATTATATCTGGTGTCCGAATGCTTTCAGAGACCTATAACCACACGCCACATCACCTAAAACTCGGTATTTTGGAGTCGGTATTGCTCAGTATACATTCGGACCGTTCAGTTTTTGACCGGATGTAATAATTTCTCTCATTATAGAGACCAAATATTTATAAAAAATAAATCAAGGATCACTAAAGATAAAACCAATTTTTATGCAACATCAGTAGTTACATAAAGATCAAATAATCTACTTAGCTAAGAACAAATATATATATGAATAATTAATATTCATAAAAAAATTAGAAATAAAAAGACATAAATTTATCTACTTCAAGTCACCTGTTGTAGAGATGAGGGTTAAATATTTTTTATTATATTTTTAAGCTAAAGAGCTTCATTTGCAATTACAAAAAGTCTTCATCCTTTCTTTCTCATATGACACTTCTCTTTTCTTCTTTCTTTTCTCACTTTGTTGCTTCTTGTTATGAATCTGCATATAAATGAGGGTGACCTAAGTTTATAAAGAGTTCAAATTCTAGCTTTAATGGTCATCTACAAACAAATACTTTTGTATCATTCATTTAAGACTTTAACCTCCATTTATTTATGATATCCTCTACTTAAAATTTTATAATAATAACTAGAGCATAGATCCTTTCATAGTGAAACAAAATCATATATATCATTTTTTCTTGAATACACAAATTAAAGAAAAAATTATTTTGTACGGACGTCGAACGCTGTCTGGAGACCAACCAAAAAAATAATATATATCATTTTCTTCTTTCTTTTCTCAATACCGTAGCCTGATACTGCTCGATGTCGCGGCTCAGTACCGCTGACTTAGATGCACTTAACTGACCACCAGATGTAGAGCTGTGTTCGGTGTCTGCACAGAATAATTTCTCCATTTCAAAGCCAACTTAGATTTTTCTGCTGAATATTCAAAAGAGAACAAAAAAACACGTTAGCCTTCACCAACATGTAGGAAGAAGTCAAACACTCAAACAAGCTATTACACTAAAATTTTATCCTAAAAATACGGAAATCCTTTAATTTTCTGACATCATTTGGCTAAGGAAACCAGAGAAATAAAATAAAATAAAATTATAGCCAACTTCTTTTACCCTTTCAATAGGCTACCATGACATTCTAAACCTCAAAATAATTAAAATAAAAAAATAAAAAATAAAAAACTTGTCCCACAATTTATCACAACTAACATAGTGGATCTCCATCAGCTCAGCGTCAGAAAATTGAAACAAAAAATAATAAATATTTACACTACAGAATGAAAATTTCATGAGCCTCACAGAGGATTGATCTCCAATAGAACATCATGCTTAAATAATACTTCCAAAGGCCCTCATCTCTAACTTATAACCACCCTGTAGAAAACAAAATACAAGAGTTATATACATTAGAAAAACAAAGGGATGAGTGACAAAGAAAGGAGAGATAAAGCCTTCGTTTGGGACGGCTTTCTTACTGTTTCTTAAAGTTATTTTTTAATATTAGCAGCTTTAAAAAGCAATAAAAAAACCGTCCCAGACGAAGCTGAAGTAAAAAAAAAGGATAGCATAGTTTTCTTACTTCGCAAGTAAAGGCAAATGGCATATTCAGTTACACCGATATGAAGGCATAGTTTATGCACTACATGAACAAATATAATCATGTACGCAACAACTATATCGGATCAACAGATGCCTAAGCCAAGACATCACCCAAGCAAAAAAGTTATATACATTTTTTTTTTATCTAACAGTATTCTGGCCTTTCATTGTTCTTCGTCAACATAGTCGGGTAATAATAGGAAGTGCACAGTGGAGGTAGGAAGTGCACAGTGGAGGGCCTGTTCACTTCACGTTAATGGCAGCTGCCATTTTCCTCAACCTCTGTGAGATTTCGGAGAAGGACGGCCGCTGTGTCGGATCAGAAGACCAGCAGATTTCCATCAAAGATTTCCATTCAGGATCACACCAATTAGGGATCTCAGGACGTAGTGTACAGTTCACAATTCCTCCTAAAAAAATATGAAATCAGGAATTGTTACGTTAAAACAGAGAGAGTAACCGAAGAATGCGAAAGGTGTCTTTTCCAAGGTATGTTCATAAGCAGGTTTGTGTATAAATGTCAGGAGATATGGCATGAATATGCTGGCTTTGAAGAAAAGAGAAAAATCTAGAGAGTTCTAAAATCTAGAGCTTTTAGATGATTGCAATCAAATCTAGAGGGTTCTAAAATCCATCTAATCTAAGGCTTCGTTGGGGACAGCTTTCTTACTACTTAAAGCAACTTTATAGTTTAAATATTAAAATTTTGTACTAAAACACTGCTTTAAAAATCAATAAGAAAGTTGTCCCAAACGAAGCTTAAGTTGGATTTTACACAAGTTTTTTCTTCTCCTCTGAGATATAATTATAATAAAAAAAAAGAATATGGATAGGAACATTGTATGTTCCAAGGCCTACCGATTATAGACGCACAATGCCTATCTGAGTAAGGCTCTTGACCAGTGAGCAGCTCCCACATGACTATACCAAACGAATAAACATCAATCTGCACACGCATGTAAATAGTAAAACATCAGCAAATTGTTTCTCCAAAATAGACAAATAAAAGCTAGAAAAAAGAACTCTTCTGGAAACATGTACAAGTAGGCTAAGAACACTGGAGAATGAGATGGAGTAACTATGTTCCTGAATTTCATAAATTAAATACCTTTTCAGACACCATACTAGTCTTTCCGCTTAGAAGTTCCGGCGCCATCCATGGTAAAGTTCCTCGAACACCTCCAGACACCAAAGTATGTTGCTTCACCTTTGATAGCCCCAAATCACCAATCTGGATAAAGAGTTGGCGCATCAATGAACTAGAAAAACAATCATGGTTTAACCAAATATATAATGCTATGAACATACTGGGGTAGATATGAATCAATCTGAAAAGGGTACAAAGGATTATATATTTATATTACAAACAAAATATCAATTAAAACAATATCAGCATTGATGCAAGGAAACATATACGCATGTGTTGCTTCCTAGTACCAGAGTAATTTGTAAAGCGTGTCTGAAGGATCTCTCAACAGTCATTACCAACAAAATCACAAGATAAGAGGCGCCTCTTAATGTGCTATGCTAGTAGGATTTCATGGTGTTGCGCCTACTCCCCAATTTTTCCTTACACATCTCTACCCACTTGCTCTACTGAATGTCTCCTCTCAAGTGTGGCCGGAAGGCCCAACGTATCTTTGGGTACCTCCATGGATCCTTCAAGTGTAGCAGGAAGGCCCAATGTACCTTTGCTCCACTGAATGTCTCCTCTCAAGTGTGGCCGGAAGGCCCAATGTACCCTTGGGTAACTCCATGGATCCCTCGGAGTATCTTCATCTTGCCTTCCACTTCATTCTCCGTTGAGGCTGACAACCGACTAGCTACGACAAGCTTACAATGAACTATAAAGGTTTGTTAACTTCTCATGTCCCTGCACTGATAATTTCGCTTTCCCTATTAAAATGAAAAGGTTTCGTTCTTGGATGAGAAAGTGGAGGAAGGGGCTAAATATTAGAGCTATGCCTTAATTAGATATCCTATCTAAAAGAAGTCACTTTATGGAAATCTATTCCAAGCCATGAGCAAACTTTCAAAATTAAATGGTGCATTTGAATTACTCTCACTATTATATGGCTTTTTTCTCTTCAACTTTATCTGTGTTGCAGATTTTGAGATGGCAAGCAATGGAGGGTTATGATTCATTAACGATTGGCCTTTCATCTTTTAAAAAAAAGGACTCCTTAATTTGTTCTGGTTAAGAAAATTTTAAAGAAATCCCTATATGGGTTAGATGTTTTATTTTACCTCTGTATCATTGGTCGAAAAAGGGATCTCGTAAGCTGCAAGAAAAATTTGTATACCTCTTACTATTGATCCTCTCAGCACCAAATGATTCATATTCATACATTTGCTAGGATTAGTATGCAAATCTCCACCATATTTGTCCTGCTTAACCAGATCATTATTTTAGTTAAAGGACAGGACATCTTGTAGCCTATCATTTATGAACGAAAACCCTCACAATGTGCTACTAGTGATACTTCCGCACATCACACCACCAATCATCCAAAATCTTCAAATCACTAGCCCCTTTACTAAACAAATTTCAGCATCTTGGTAGAAGCGGAAGCATCAACAGGGGGATTTTTTTCCTAGGGTCACAGCCACCCCAAAATGGTCTCCTTCAATTCAATCATTGCTCCCCCTGCTGTGGCACCAGATCTCAAAATTTCTATCACGACACCTGCAAATACTAATAGCTTTTCTTCTACTTCTTCAATTCCCAATCTTGCGAGTATCCACTCCAACTAATGGTAACTTTGATGAAGCCACTCTTCATCCTCCCAACACATCTGCTTCTAACCACTTGTCAAGCATACTTAAACTTCTTCCTCTTATAACTTCAACCTCTACCTCAATCTCTGAGGGATTATTATCACTTTAGAATGATATACCGTCCACCATAAAGAATAGGATAACTACGCAAAAGGAGAATGCCCTCCTCCATCCCTCAAAAACTGATGGCATTCCAAACATTATTGTTTGGAATATTAGGGGAAATAGTGATGCTAGTATCATTTATTGCAGATACTTAGTCAAAGACTACAAAATTGATCTTTTGTCTTCTTGAGACCAAACTCCCTTTTAATGTCATTGCGGATTGTGTGTGTGTGTGTGTGTGTGTGTGTTTTGACAATGGTGCTCCTGAGGGGAAAGTCATGTGACAAGTGATTACTGATATGACTCTCTGTCTCTAACCACATTAAATTTGGGGATGAAAAAGTTGAAAGCAATCACACCTTACCTTGTAAGCTGGTTAACTATAATACTTGAATTTTTAATGCGGATCTATTTGAGCTCTCCCACATTGTTCTATCCTTCAACTGGTTTAATCATCAACTTCAAAATCTTATCAGATTTCTTCTTAATAGGGTCTTTTGCAATGGTCAATGACTGAATAATTAACCTTTACTTGCCTCAATATTCTCAGTCTTCTGACCGCTCTACAATTCTACTTCAAATAGAGAACTCTGTCAAGCTCAGGCGTAGGTTTATGCATCAAAACTATTGGAACCATTGCCCAAGCTTTTGGAGATTATCTCCGCTGTTTGGTTTTTACATATTTCTGGAGATCTCTATTTGATTTTTGTAACAAGCTCAACAATGTATAATTCAAGTTGAAGGTAGTTGATTGGAATTCTTACTCATATATCTAATATTATCTGTTCTGTGAAAGCTGATCAAAATAAAATTTCTAAGAGCAAGAAAAATTAGTCCCTCACTGCTATGTTTCTCTACAAAGCAATGGATGCTAAAAAACTCTTAGTTGAAGCCATAATTTATAAAAGCACCAGGGTTGAACAACAAGCCATGTGTTCTTAGCTGAAGATGACATAAATTCTTCTACCAAACAATAAAAAACAGCGATAACCATAATTACATTGGAGCTCTCTTGCAACTCTGGTATCTTACGCTCTCAATATTGCTTAGGAAGCTGTATCCCACTTCTCTGCCATTTTTAATGGGCGGTTAACTCTAAGAACCACATCTTATATAAAATTCCTATTGGCTCAATTTTTTTTGAGGATGACTGCATAGGTCTTATTTCTAATTTCTCAGAGGAAGACATCAAAGTGACTATTTTTAACATAGCAATGGTGAGGCTGTTGGTCCTGATGGTTTTACATCTAAGGTTTTCAAGGAAACTTGACACATCACTGCTCCTTTCTTTATTGAGATGTTTAAACATTTTTTTTCTCTCCTCCAAGCTACCTAACCATGTGAACCATTCTACTTTCACTTTGACCCCAAAAAACAAAATACTGAAAGCTTACATGATTATTGGTTGATCTCGCTTTGCAACATTATTTATATATGGTTATATAAAACTCATTAGGAATGACCAGGTTAGGAGAGTAGAGGTATTATATTTGACTTATGTTAAGAAAGGTAGAGGCAGACCTAAAAAGGCTTGGTTAGAAAATATTAGGAATGACCTTTCTTCATGTAGCAGACCCCACGTAGTGGGATAAAGGCTTGATGTTGTTGTTGTTGTTGTTGGTTATATAAAGCTCATTGGTAATAGGCTTAAGCTTTTTCTTCAAAAGCTTATTCATCCCACCCAATCTGCTTTCAATATTTGGTAATGATATGCGGACAACATCACATTGTTGATGAAATTCTTCGAGTTCAATTCTACAACACTCCTAGACATTTTTGTTCTAAGATTAGCCTCAAGAAAGCATTTGACAATGTGAACTGTCAATTCCTTTACAGTAGGCTCAGAGATTTGGGCTTTCATGAAGTTTGTTCATTAGACTATTGCTTACACTTTAAATATTCACTTCTATGTGTTTATTAATGGGGAAATTAAAGGTTTCTTCAGATCCACAAATGAAGAAAGAAAACAAAAAGAAGAAAAAAAAAATAAGAGAAAGAAAAAGAGAAAAAATAAGAGGAGATTTGTGCATTCGACCTCATCAACTCGCCATGCGCTCATTGTTATCTCACCATCATTGCCTCATGCACGCATATATAAAATATTTACTCAAAATCCCGATTGCAACACTTTGACGCGACAAGTGGACATGTGCGGCTTTTCTTAGCAGGACAAGAAAAACTCATATGCTACGCTCGCGGCTCAGTGGGTAAGTATTGCACACTCTTTTCTTAGCATGATGACGGAACTCAAATTTAAGTATTCGTGTGCGTTTCTCCAACATGGCGGGGAAATATTGCATATTTCAAATAGGTTCACAACAACCTACACACGCTTTTTAAGAGCGGAGGGATAAAAGACACCTGACAACGGTTTCTCACGACACCAACCATGTACACTTTCTAAGCGTGATGAGCAGGCCCAGACTGCCTGTAAGTGCCACATTATGTAGGGAAGGCGCTAGGAGGCTACTAAAACTTTTAGCGAACAAATTTATAATTAACAAAATTAAAATGAATTTCTAAACTTTATCATGCGATACATATAAAAATATAATTATAACATTACAAAAAAATGCAATACTTGTCACATCAAATGAACAAAAGAAAGCATGAAGCGAGTAATAATGAATTCAAAACACAAATTCACATGCATGTTCCAAAGGTCAATGCATTCATGTGAAAAAATGATGCATTAGATCCCTAAATATTTCAAATAGTCGCGTCAAGTGAATGACTTTTAAAAAAAATTTAAACAATCCAACCTATTGCACGTCATGGTTTGCATCAGTACCCTAAGCAACGTGCATATTAACGGACCCGTATACGTATGTGATGTCCCATGAACAAGTTGTGCATAACATGAATGAAAACTTTTCAAATGAGACAAAGCAATACAAAGTTGCACATCATAGGTGAAACCACCATGTCGACGGGGTGTGCATGATGCATCAAATCATCAAAAATAATTTTGATTGTATGTTCTCCATATACATTATTCAAACACCAGAAAGACATGAAAATGTACAAATGAATGAATGTGCACTCTTTTAAAAATTAAATGTCCCCATGTGCTTCAATGAACGTGTTAAATGCATGAATTTAACATCTAAGAATGATATGAGATTACAAATACGTTGAATGCAAAATTCACTCCATCTGAAGAGTCATGTAATTACTTTTTGAAAAAGTGCAATCACTTCATAAATTTGCAAAGCCTTTCTTTCAAAAAATCAAATTAACCAGCATAAACACATGACGCTCTTAAGAAGGCCGCTTTACTTATAAGGTAAAGTTGTAATCCTCACATTTCAAGTTTAATCCTACTCGGAATGATTGAAGTCGAAGAGA